AATCTGACCAGTAACGTGTTTGTGACGGTATCTACCAGTACCTTACATCATCATGTTATTAGATATCTCCATTATCTAATTTCAATGTTAATGCAAAATTGTGGAAAATCTTTAATAATAAAATATATTTTTTTGTGTGGTTGATTGGTGGTGACATTTTAGGGGTTCATATTTAAATGCTTCCGAAATATTAGTCCATACATCCATCCCTACGTTTGTGTCGTCTGTCCGCTTTTTTAGGGCGTCGGTTGGAATTTTTACTATATAATATGAGCTATTACTAAAAATGCTAGAATCTAATTTGTTTAAGAATGCGCATTTTAAAGTAGTATCGTGACAAATAAAAATAAATACTAGATATCCGGAATAAAATAATTATTTATTTTATTGTTAACTTTTTTCATATGAGATGATAATTAATTAATTGGAATTTCCAAATGCGGAATTGGATTATATCATTGTACTAAAATACGGTAAGCGTATAATCTTTTCAAGATAAAACGACCTGTATCTAAATTATATTTTCCCACAACGTAAATTTATATTTTATAATATAATTACTGTATATACCCATATAAATTTATTTCGTGTATCTCAGAAACGGCTCTTACGATTTGGATCAAGTTTTGTATTTAGGTTTTGCTATTTAAGTTTATCTACATAGATTTCTTTCCGAAAAACGCCAAGCGAAGTCTATTATATATATCCCAGGTATTAATATTTATTTATAATATGTATTAATAATTAAAGTCTATTATATATCCCAGGTACTTACTTATTTTTAAATCATGACTCATATTTCTATAAAGTACTTTTTACAAGTTTTACATATATACGTAACTTATACAACTTAGAATATAATCTATTAAGACAAGGTTATTTGCATTGGATGTTATGTATTACATGACCTAGGTAACTCTATGCAAGTTATTAAGGCTTATGAGAGTCATGTTATATAATGAAATCAGGCTACTATTAATAAAATGAAAGTTTGTACGTCTGTGTGTATGTTTGTTACTCATTCATTCTTAAATGGCTTTGAATACAATTCAGAATAAGTCGCTGACAAGAAGTGTTTAAAAACAGGTCAATTCATTGTTCCACAGATAAGTAAAAGGACCAAACAAAAAACATGCTTTAGATATATTTATAATATTGAAGAAAAATATACAAGCAACATTTTTATAAGGTACTAGCAGAACCTGCGGCTACGCCCACGTTCAATCTACAAAAAAACTCTTTGGCTTTTTGTTATACAGCGACACATATTAAATATGTAGGTACATATTTATATAATATTGTTAAAAAAAAATTGTAAAAAATGAGGGGTGGGAGTAAGAGGGTGAGAAATACTTTATGCCCTATTCTCATACCTACCAAATATACAAAAAAACCATTAAAATCGGTCAAGCCGTTTCGAAGGAGTGCGACCACAAATACCGTGACGCGACATTTTTAAATAAAGTTCTTTTTTTTGGCTTTATTACCTATTAAAGTATGAGTGACTTATTACTGTTTTCCACGACCACTTTTAGTTTTGATTTTAACTAAATTGGGTAAAAAAATTTACTTGTATCTACTGTTCCTCTTAACCCTTCAACGACATTTGTTAAAGTTTTACAAACAAATTATAGATTGTTTCTACATAGAATAATAAAATATTTTAATGAGATTTAATTTTATTGTAAACATAAAGCAAAAACCATTTCATATAGGAGTAGAAAAAGTTATAATAATATGACTAATGCAATTGAAAATTAAGGAAAATTATATGATTTATAAAATGATGTAATTATGTTAATAATGGCTTTATATGGCAAACAAAGATATCAGTCAATCTTTAATTAGTCAAATTGTTCCATAGAATATGTAGTTACGCTACGACGTAGTAAATTGTGCATGATTAGTGATTGAGTCATAGTAAAATATTTGCCTAGCATATTTTATTTTATCGTATAAAGCTTGCCAATTTTATAAAAATTGTGATTTTAAAATATATAATAGATCTTTATCTATGAAGTTGCCGTTTTACTATATTAGCCATTTGAAACGTAATTTATGAATGGCTGGCAATAAATTCTAAATTCAAACGAATTTTACTCATTTGAATTCTATTTTCAAATTCAGTCAATTGTTTATTGATTAGTATTTTGTTTTCACTATATTTATATCTTTTTCATCAGTATGGATACAATAAAAATACGAGTGATTATGGAATACGAGTTCCGTCGCGGTAGCAATGCCGCACAAACGGCTCGTAACAATTGACGTGTATGGAGTGAACACTACAAAGGAACACACGATTTGAATCCTTCCGACATGGAAATTTTTATGTAAAAATGAACCCCGTGGTCGACTAAAAACTAAAATCACCAACCACGAATTAAAGGCGATAGTGGAAGCTGACGATACTCAATTTACGGTTGAGTTAGCAGCAGCTATAAAAAGCTTTTTTAAATTTACCTCTAAAAAAGTAATGGTCACTGTTTGGTGCTCTAGTACCGGTATAATTCATCACAGCTTTTTACCAAATGGCCCCAGTATTACTGCGGATATGTACTGTGAGGAACTGGGCACAATGATGGAGAAGTTCGCAAATCTCCGGCCAGTCTTGGTTAATCGCGACCTATACGGCACAACAGATGGTCTCTAAGCTACAATAGCTAGGGTTGGAAGTTTTACGTCATCCACCGTACTCATCAGACTTTGCGCCGACCCGTCTTCTACTTTTTCCCAAAATTAGGACATGAAAAAATTTGGAAGAGCTTGTATAACTCGCTTCTTCAAGAAGGGAATTGAAACTTTACCAGTGCGTTCGCAGAAATGGATAAAATTCTGCAGGGAATATTCCTTTAGTAATCAAAGGGATAGGGTAGTAATAAAGAAATCACTTTAAATATACATATATTTAAAAAGTTAAATTCATTTATTAAAGAAGGTTAAAAGATTAAATATATAAATATTACTAAAAATGTAAATTTCTTGTAAAAATAAAAACTTTGCATTACATTTAAATTTAAAGGCACATAGGTATCTTAAAGAGTATATTTTTTTTATAAATAGTGTCCCGGAGACTATCCAGTCTTATTCATTTTAAACAATTATTTACATACAAGCAGTAGGAGTATTCGATAAATTCATATTTCGGCAACCAAGTAGACGAAGCTGTAAATAGCAGTATTGAGATTAATCTATTAGCAGTGGAGTATTCGTCTCAGCCGAAGGACTCTCCTCTAATAATAATCCATTTTCTTCGTGAATTTTTCCGATGTTTTAATAGTTATTTTGCTATTCGGGGTGAAAAATCCAACAAAACAATGATCATAAAAATTGGTCAAGCAGTTCTTGAGTTATAAGTGTTGTAACACACCCGACTTTGTTTTATATAGGTATATAGATGTCAAAATTTTTATTGGTCTGTCCACTCATGCAGCAACGGAAAAGTGGATCGATGATTTTTTGCATAGTTGTTTAAGGGCTACTTTTTATCTCTTATCAGTAGTCTTTTACGAAAAGTTAACAACTTCTAGAGATAAATGTGTCTTAACGGCATTTTAACTATTATACAAAAACTGCCACTAACTTGTAAATTGTGTAACAATAATCAATTTTCAATCATTGGTTTCCTAATAGCTACAAAAACCAATAATTTATTGCTTAATTAAGTTATCATCAATCAATTGAATTTAAATGGCATCAAGTAATGTCATCTACGAGTATTTACACTGCCTCATTGCTAAAATAGGTAGAGATATTGCCTCTACTATGTGTGAAATCATTTTTTTTTAAATAGAATTATACAAATAATTTTGAATCGACACTTTTATACATTTAAATTAAATGTCAGTATTGTAAGTGCGTGAGAAAGCCACCAACGGCTTTACAGACAGTTCTGTTATTAAGAGCTTGCTGCGATTCTCAATAGTTGCTCTTTTAGAAATATTATAATATTTTAATTTACATTTCTAGTAGAAAATACTAAAACTAAACTCACACATCAAATTTTGGCGGAATGTGATTTGCTTAATAATTAGTATTTATTATACTTAAAATACTAACAATAAAGTTAAAACCCTAAAAATATACAAAAGCTAACTACAATACTATTATTATAAAATTCAAATGTGTTGTAAAACAATTTTCTATATAAAATATATATTTATTTGCTGTTTTTTTACTATACAGGATATCTAAAGTCTAATAGGTTCTAGACTAGACCCTACTACTGAAACTCTTCTATAGACTATAGAGAATTAGAGAATAGTGTGAAGAGTACCTACATGCTTTTTTTTATTAAGTTTCACCAGTGGTAATTACAATACTATGTTGCAAAGTTTTTATTGCAAAATAAATTACCTTTTAAGGTGAATATCGAATGCGAACATATGTGAAGAATTCTATGATCTAAAGAAATTAAACAAATATACAAAATCTACCATACAAGTTCAGATATACTTAATGAATTAAGAATATTCATTACTTATTTGTAATTTTTTTTTTACATTTTTGCGAAACTTTGACAACTTGTCTCTGAATAAATCCAAGCATTTATAATCGTTTATAATTTTACATAACTACAATCTACATACCTACCTCTTTCTTTATTTCATTTGCCATCTTCCTTTTTGATCACAATTTCTAGATCCACAGATTTAAATATTATTCTGTAAATATAATAATTCAACCGCTATATAATACATTTACTGTTTATATGAAATCATGTGCATTACAATGAAATTTAGACCTTTTATGAAGCCGTTTCTACGTAGCCAATCCGGTATTCCACCAATCGGACCATTTTACATAGGTCGTATTACATTGACGTCACGGTGCGGTTTACCTAACCACTGACTCAGATAAAATATACGACTTTATATTCGCTACGTATGGCTTTCGTGCCTCAGTGTATCAACGTGTAGTACGCATTGTGGTTGTATATTAATAAATTGGTCGCTTTTCGTGACTTTTCCTGACTTTTAAGCATTTTAGTGACAGTGATAATGTATTCCGGTGAAATATGTTTTCGTATCAAGGATTTCATGGATGTCGTATATTGTGTTTATGTTTTTAAAACGAAAAAGGTTTGTTTGATTCGTTCGTGATTTAAGCTAGCTATCAATTAAGTTTTTAATTAAATTACCTATTATTATAGAAAATTATATATATTTTTGGGTGACACATAATATAAAATTAAATTATATCTACGTGTTATTTTCGTTAACAATTTTTTTAAGTTATTACTACACTATGTTTTAAGCTTATGTTTATTGATAGCTTATATATCAAACAGTGTTGCAAGTCCATTTTCCGTTTCTTGTCCTCATTTAAAAACTCAACCTTTAGCGTTATATCATGGCCAGGACTTTACAGGTTTACCAACGAATATTTTTAAATATTTGAATTCGCAATGTTGATTTTAATTTATCCTTAGAATATTTCAACTACATTTAACAGCTTATAGTAATTTCATATTGTTCATTCGTATAATAAAATAAATTAATTAAAATGAGAAAATGTATGCTCCGTTTCAAATGAATCATTTGAGAAAGAATATTTATCTATAAAATAATTGTTAGAACTCAATTGTATTATAATAATTTTAAAAACAATTAACCAAAAAAATATATAGTAAAATGAGCATCCTCTGGATCAATATTTTACTAAAGGAACCTTAATAAATTAACTTCTTATAACATCAATATAGATTTAACCAGTAAAAAACTTTGTCATATTAGCTTTCAGTACAAAACAACTCAAACAAAAACTAATTGCTTATTGTAACTTGCTCCATTTACTGTATACATATTCACCTATAGTCAAAGTTATTCTAGCTTTAAGCCACCTGTATTGAATTATTCGCGACGTTTCAACCACATTTAATTAAGTTCCCCAGACTTTTTATTATGGAACAATATCTAATTTTACTCATTATGGCGTTTTACTTAATATAAAGTTAATGTATATTTGAAATTAAATAAACCTTGACGCTAACTACCATTAAAGAGCAACCGTAGAGTTAGTGCTTGGCATACTCTACTTTGACAACTCTGACCTATCTTTTATTAATATAGCTTATTTTATTTTATTATCTTCTTTGCTTGTATGTATATGGATAAATATTATTTATTCATGGATAGACTTTATGTACCTATTACCTACAATATTTGACACTAGCGGATCAACCTCGCTTGGCTCGGGTTCGTCCCTAGCTTGGTTCTCCATACAAACTGTCATCCCCATTTTCACCCCTTTAAGGGATGGTTGCCGGGATAAAAAGTATTTTATGTTCTTCCCAGGGTCTCAAACTATCTTCTTACCAAATTTCATCTAAATCGGTTCAGTAGATCCAGAGATTACCCCCTACAACGTCACAAACTCACAATCTCACAAACTTTACCTCTTTATAATATTAGTATAGAAGTATAGATTACGAGTTTTACTATCGGCGCGACGCAGTATGTCATATGAATGACTGTTGCAGCAAAGTAGCGGGCTCTTCCCCCGTACGGTTAAAATTATTTAAAACATACTTTACCTCATCCTGTTTAAAATAATTTACGATCGTGGGATTCTACCCACCACGTCTTATATAAGAATTGAGTGAATAGCAACAATGATCTCTGTACGCGGCTTATGTAAAGCAGTGATAAACTGTTAGTATTAGAAAAATTAATATCCTTGTTTTCCTTTTTCAGCAATCAGAAAGGTGGAGAAAACTGCGCAATATAGTACAATGGACGCCGTTCTTCCAAACGTATAAGAAGCAACGGTACCCCTGGGTCCAGCTAGCCGGTCATCAAGGGAACTTCAAGGCTGGTCCAGACCAAGGCACGATATTGAAAAAGCTGAGTCCCCAAGAAGAGAGGTGTTTTCAGGTAATTATAATAAAGCTCTGTTTTTCAAAAGCTTTCTAAAATGATTAATCCACTCTTTTGTAAACGATGTAACTTTTCGTATATAGGCTTAAAAACATGTGTACAATGAACGTATCGAATTATTATGTGAAATATTATCGCAGGCACAAATATTTTAGAGTCGATTTTTCATTTACAAGTAACAATCAGTCATAATATGCGATATCTTTTTGTTGATTGTTTTATTATTATTTTTCAAATTTACTTTATATAAGTTACTATATATACGTATCTTTACAAATCTTAATTTTGAGCTGAGTTAAAACTCTTTTAGTTAAAACTAAAGCGAGACTGAAACCGCCATTTATGTCGCCGTTACTAACTATTGTAAGTCCACGACATTGGACTCTATGTTTTATGTATTTGTTTTAAATATTATTATTTGTTTTAAATATTAATATCAATATTAATATATCTGTTGAGGCCCACAAGCATGCTTTATATAATACTAGGTGTATGATGTGGTTTCCTTTAACCGCACTGACAATGTTACGCTTAGAAGTATCAGTTACCTACTTCCCGTAGAACTAAACGAAGGCATTAGGTTTCATTTTGTATTTACATAATACAGGGCATGTGATGTGTTTAGTAGTTGTTATATTTGTTGTGGTAGTTTTTTATATAATTTGTAATTAAAATAATATTAGAAGCATTGGTAATTTTATGGATTTTTTTTTTCATCATTTGGTGTGTACCTACGTCAAGATATTTGATAACTTAATTACCTAATATGTTGATAAACTAAATATGCATTGACTTTAAAATTCAATTAAAATTAAAAAATATGACAAATTAAATAATAACATATAGCCGAAGTTTCAAAATACACTTCCCAATTTTGAAGTCGGTAAAAAATTAGCGTTTCGCCGTCGCTACACTCCGGCCCTCAATAGGTACTCATGGTGCGTATTTCTGCAACGTTTTGCAATATAATAATCTTATTTATTGCGTTGTGTTTTCTTCTTCGCTGCAACAAAACAATGAATCGACATTTCATAGATATATTTTATGGACCGGAGTGTGAATTAGACTTTTTATCCCAATTTATCATGAGATTCCCATGAGATTAAGTTATATAACATAAGTAAAAGACACGAAAAGTGTAGATGTGGCCTTAACAAAATGAAGACGGATTTCTATTTAGAAATAAATTATACGGTTATTGAAAACCCTTTCCAATGAGTCATGATGCATGTCTCACGAATAGACGATATTGTTCCTATATAATATCATTAGATATAGTCGTTTTATGACTGTATTAGTAGAAATGCCGTTACTATATAATAAAATTTGTATATTATTAATTTAAATAACAATAACATAATGCTTTTTACTTAAACAATAGGATCATAATTTATGTAAGAACATGCAAATCACGCGCAGGAAGAAGTGACGTTTTTTTAGGTTACTTTTCCTTATAAATATACAATTTTTTTTTAAATATAATATTTAAGTTTTAATGAGTTAATATATTATAAAATATAATTTCGTAAATCATGTCATTTTCTTACATATTCCTTTTTACGTTTTGTACTTTTATTTGTTCAGTAAACGAATTAAATGTTATATTAAGTTTTTAAAACCGCTTCTGCATTTGGACCATCCTTTACATATATGTGAAATTAATTTCAAGATTATAATTTGACCTCAACGAGTATTAAACCTGAGTACGGTTGTATCCATTCCTTTGCCACGATGCCACATGTTAGCTAAATATGTATTTCCTAATAATTGTTATAGATGTGGATCCCCGCTATTTTGCGGTTTATAACATTTCCGGTACGTTATCTGCAAATTCCAACGTAGCTAATAAATAATGAGAATGATTGACAATGACAAATGGTATATTATGGTAATGGTTTATTAGTAAATTGAAGTGACGATTTTAATGAGGTAGATTGTTTTATAATAAAAATTTCAGATTTACCAATTCAATTTAATTATCTTGTTAAAGTCTTTTAAACGTGCTTGTAGAGCATAGATTACTTCTCCAATTTCACATAGAATGGAGAAGATAAGAGGGTGGTTGGTTGATAAAATAAGATTATTTGATCTAGTCCACGTAGTTTTAACTGACTTTTTCCCAAACGGCATTCCTAGAAGCCATTGAACATAAAATTGAATTGAATTGAACTGAAATTTGCATATAAAATATGACAGTGATAAGAGGTTAATTCAATTCTTTTGTTCAGTAGCACCTAAAAGTACCGTTTATGCACAATTTCACTTCGCCAATGTCGTCTTGAATGGAGAAAACACGTTAGATATATAGAAAAGAGGTTAATTTATCATCGGTTGTTGTTGGCATATACCTAATGATCTATTTTACTCCTCCAGGTAAATTTCTAAGAAATTAATTAAATTTCTAAGAAATTAATTGCTAACTGTAACACCAGTGTGCACGCGGTCGTTGAGGGATTCAAAAATACCCGTCAGTTTAAAGCTCTGCGAAAACAGCCTTACATGTTTAAGATAGAAAAACTCTTCTAGAGCATTCATAAATTACTAAAAATTGAAATAAATATTGAAATCAAATATATGTTTTGTTGTAAGACGTAAATTACGTAATAAAATTGAGTTTTTGCGAAATCAGTTAACTTACCAGTGTGATACGTGACAAACTAAACAAACTTTATATATACATACATACATATAAGGTTACCTTGTTTTAATTGTATAAGGTATATTGATAACTGGATGTCATACAATTATTACCTGTTTGTGATAAAGTGTTACGTGACTGATTATTATCTTGGATCAACATCATTTAGTTCCTTGTATATAGAGCAAAGTTCAAAATTACTGGACGCCCTTAATATCTATATATAAATATTTTCTTCTCAGCTGCTTGATAACTGACTATGTTTTTTCTGTTGATTAGATATTGACGAGTTTTAGTTATCCGTTTTTTTATATAGATAGGTAAATTCTATTCATATATGTTTTCCTCAAATTTTCAATGATAATTAGGTTATGGTCGAATTTTGAATACTGGGAAGACACTAGTCTTAATTGAATTTAGTCGTGAATTCTTAATCTAATGTTAACCCTATGACATGTAGTAACTATTACCCTAATATAACATTTATCAAATTATAAAAAATTATCAACGTATGAGTAAAAATGTTCAAGTAATTTAAGAGTATTTACATACTATTTCACTATTTTAATTATATGCTTGCTACCTATAAATGTTTTTATATTTATATATGCAACCTAGGTTCTCGTTTATTCTCTTTCGGGAATTTCATTGTGACACCTCCGGTTTTCCGCTTATATTTGCCTCGTCTAAGGACGTAACTCGCGACCTCCGACGTTAAAGTCAATGCCAATCAGATTGTGCCACAGTGGCTATGTGTTTGTCATAAATAATTACTAAATTAAATTTAGTGGACATAGTATAAACCGAATTTACCTAAGTTTTTGTTTTTAATGATACTTTATTAAGTAGTAATGTAGCGATCCTCCCTCGCTTTGCTTAGACTTATACGTTTTGATCACAAAATGATTTTCTTTTTCTTTCTTCAAAACATATATTTTGCACGTCTATACACATAGGCACATATTTCGGATTTTTTTTAATATTATTGAGAACCGAATAAAATCCATTGCATAGTTCAGAACTAAGCAAAAACAAAAGCGACTTTGTTTTATACTAATTAATAAACTTATTGAATGAAAATAAAAATTTGGTTTAAAGATGCTTTATGATTATTTATTAAAAATTAAATATTTTATTACGTGTAATATTGATGTATTAGAAGTAAATTTACCATTTTGTTATGACATTTGTAATACGTGATGTCTCTAGTTTACTGTTCATCGAAGGTGACTATCTCAAAGCATGATGAAATATTTTCGAAACATTTCCGTGAAATAATTACTTTCTCAAATCAGCATTTACTCATGTGTTCAGGACTACTTCGATTGACGTCAATTTATTACATAGAATTTTTTGTCAACTCAATAAAAGAAAATGCGTCATTTGATATTTAGAACATTATTTCGAACACTTCGTCTTATCCCTCTATTGGTGACAAGAGCTGGCTTACTTTTCGTCCAATGAATTGGCATTGCCATTGAGGAAAACGGCTAGCATTCTTGATAATCATTAGACAAAAATCTTCTGAGTATATTGTATAAGATATGCTCGTAGAAACCCAAAATTTTGAGGTTTTTGTCCCTAAGAGGTAAAATATTATAATATTATAATAATAAATAGGTATTGCCGAAATTATTATATTTAGTGCGGATTTCGAAGTATAATTTACTATACTATACTTAATTTAGTATAAATGTAATAAACTAATCTTTAGTAAAAAAAAGTTGAGAATGCCATGAATATAAAAATTATGTATAATTTGTTACTTAATTGTGATATAATAACATTGATCATTTGTAATGTGTGATCATTATCTAAGCAATTTTCAGTTAATTAAAGTTGTAATTATTCTTCTCGTGAGAAATGAACCGTGATTATTTAGTACTAGCGATTTATCCTCGATTCGCTCGATATGCCTACGTTTTAAATAGATATTTGAATAGTTATTCTGCTATTCGGGGCGGAGACAAATCCGACAAACCAAAAATCGGTCCAGCCGTTCTTGAGTTATAAATGGTGTAATTAACTCGACTTCGTTTTATATAATATGTATAAAATCATTAATAAGTACGACGCGATGACTCCAATATAATACTCATATAGGGCTTAATAATAAGATTTAAATAAATAAATAAATATTAATATTTTTTGCTTAAAATATTAACCATTTTATTTTATTGATCATTTATGATATTAAATATCCTTTTTATTTTAATTTCGTTGTAAATTTTACTTAAATTTTCAAAAGGGAGAACTTTTTATATCTTTACATAAATTTCAACTAAATTTTACTTAATACTATTTATTGTAATTTATATTTCAGATAGCAAAACTAAGTAATGGTTTTTTTCTTAACAAAATTGGGATATTTAATTGCATGTGTGATACAAATATTCCTCGAATCCTTGCAAAGTGCAAACTCTATTTTAATAGAATTTATAGAATAGAACTTTGTTTGTGACACCTAGTTATTTTAGTTAGTAAAACTAACGAATGACTCTGGTTTCACTCGGGCTCGTCTGTTTTAACGGTTAGTATAGAATGGATATATATCCTATGTCTGTCCTCAATAAACGGAATATCTAGTGCAAAAAGAATTTTTCAAATCGGATTAGTATGTAGTTGCTGATATTAGGGAGTTCAAACAAACAAACAAAAATCTCTGCCTCTTTATAATATTAGTATAGATATAAAAAGAGTAGGTATATTAATATATTGTTAATAAATTTTGCTTTATTGTTTCAGTTACTGATGAAAGATGTCCTGCGGCCTTTTGTACCTGAATACAAGGGACAAGTCACTTGTGAAGACGGAGAACGTATCCTTTTTTCAAATAATTGAATTACAGCTGTAGTCTTAAACAGTTTTATATGAAATTATTAGCAAAAAAGTATTTATATTAAGTTTAAATAGAATAATTCCTTAACAAGAATATACCACAGTGTACTTACAACTACAAGATCTCTTAAGCGACTTCGACTGTCCGTGCGTTATGGATTGCAAAGTTGGAGTCCGCACTTATTTAGAAGAAGAATTAGCTAAGGCTAAAGAAAAAACTAAGTTAAGAAAAGTAAGTACAAAAGTTATACTAAACATTGTAACATAAAAAAATATTGCTCGTAGCTCGGAGATCATGTAAAGTCATCAATCAGTCCAGCGTCTGAGTTCTCTCTAGTGTCACTCTCTTTGAATGTAAAATAATGTTGTACTTTAGTGTTTGCGCATACGCTTGTCCCGCGTATATACCTAGTCTCAGTGAGACAAGCCATGGCAGTAATCGATCAGAAGATTATTATATTACTATTTTTATATAATTACTAGCGAATCACCATCCCTTCGCTCGGGTTCGTCCCTACCTTGCTTCCCCATACAAACTTTCATCCCCATTCTCACCCATTTTTAAAAATGTTTCTTTTAATTTTCTTCTATACAAAACTTCCTGATAACAAACACAAAAAAAAGAATTATCCAATTTGGTGCAGTCGGTCCGAAGTTATGCGCGTACATACATTTCGGTGATTCATTTTCTTTATTGGTATAGATATGAATAAGTACATAATAAATGGCTACTGTGAACTTGTCTTTGTGTATGTTTCACGCAAAAAAAAGTATTCACTGCTTAGGACGGGTTCTCTCAAGTGTGTGTAAACTTAAGTTTATACGAAACAGACATACATTGATTGATTTTGTTTCTTCATATTAATACAATTTATATTTAATACTTATAATATAAATATCTCCATGTCCGTCAACCCGCACTTGGCCAGCTTGGTGGACTATGGCCTGATCTTCCTCATATTGAAGCGACACCCGTGCCCAGCAGTGGGACGTTAAAATGCTCTGAATATATATAATTTGAATTAAAATGAGTTTATGTTCTATTTGGTAGCGGAGATTGTAGGTTACTATTGGTATTTGAGTTGGGCTTGTTTTTCAATCCTCAGATACATAATACTTTTTTCGATTTACGCGAATATTTGATATTATAAATAAAACTATCTTGTCGGATTGTTTCCGCTGATTTATTTAGATTTTTGGACCCCGACTTTTCGATTGCTTTACAGCAATCATGGTCACGGGGAGGGGAGGAATTCGCGAAAAAGAAGATCGTTTTATTTAAAACATCAGATACATATTTATATTATTCTAGTTAGTAGGCTATTTTTGCTGTATACGATTTTATAAAAATACCATACTATAATTCACGCTCTGATGACTGACTGTTACTGTATGACGTGCGAAGAGTACAACTACTAACATAAATGAGTTTTCTACGTCATAATATATTATTATTTTGTTGCATATAAGATTATGTTACTATAAACAAAGTATAAAATACTTTCTAACATCGTCATCAATTCATGAGATTTAGTGTCTTTACACGCTAGATTTTCTGTCGATCAAAGTTCCCGTTCACATTTTGTATGAATGATAATGTAGGCCAATAAATACCGTATCTTTATATTGTACGCGTTTCATTCTGAATAAAATTCTAACTGATTGTGAATCGAATGTATTTATTAAAAATCTGATTGAAATAGTCATTATTATCGATACAGAGGCCGAATCTACAGTTTTTAGAATTTACGTCTATCTGTATGTCTGTCAGTCTGTGACCGCATCACGAGAAAACCACTGGACGGATTTTGATGAAATTTGGTATGATGGTAACTGGTTATTCGGGTCAATATATAGGACATTTTTTACTGAGGGAAAATATCTCTGATAAATCTACGGTAAATGTTAAAACATAACTAGGGACGAACCCGAGCGGAGCGAGGCTGGGTCGCTAGTTATTAATATTATCGACCGATAGAAAATCTTTAGTGTGCGGGGTAGAAGCAAATTCCACAATATAACAACACAACACTTTGTTTTTTATTATGAATCTGTTACACTTATTATTATCTGACCAAATGACCTTTTGTGTTATATACCTTTAAACTTGGTTTAAATATAGCTATCCTTTTTTTTTTTTTTTTTTTTTTTTTTTTTTTTAACGTTGGGAAATGCATTTACGCACGACGTGTGGGACTCACCGGCGTAATACAGCCAGTACTACCCACTAAAACCCAACAAAACCTTCCCCCGTCTTAATGGGGCGTCGCAGGATCGCTTACGCATTCAACTACGACGCCCCGACGGCAGGTCTGCCAAAGCAGACCACCACAACCTTGGGGTTGCTCCAAGGTCCACTCTGCTATCAGAGAAGTACCAGGAGCAACCCGCAAGGTACACCGCCCCCCGAAGAGGGCCACCTCCCACCGCCCACCGAAGTGGGCAACCTCCCTGTGCGTTTCTTAGCTTCGTACTACTACTACTGAGCCCCCCCACCACGACAAGGTGAACGCACGTTGGGGGGGAAATATAGCTATCCTCATTAAGTTGGTACATTCAACGTTGTACTTTATTTATAAATATGTAATTCTGTTCTATTTGCGTCAGAGCATGATAAATAAAACAAATAAAATGAACACATACAACTATAAATATTTTTTAATTCTAAAGTTAAATAAAAGATTCTTCAGAAGTAACAAGTTACTAATATTAAAGTAAATAATGTAATTTGAAAAACTTTGTTATTACCGAAAATCAAAACTTTGGATGTTATACTACCAAACTTTCATCTTTACATCTACCAAATTTTGCCTCTATGTATGTAATATATGTACATACCTCTCAATTATTGATTGACAATATTATTACAAAATCTCAAGGACCCCAATAGCTAGAATAATGACATTTGGTCAGATGATGTTAGTATGAAGAGGCCCGATTATAAACGATTTTTAAAAATATTCATTTTAGGGGAGAAAATGGAGGGGATTGGATTTTATATGAGACTTTTGCAAATGGAGTCGTGGGTACAACTTGTAAATTATAAACAACCAATTGTTTTATTTTTATTTTCCAGGATATGTACGAGAAAATGATACAAATAGATCCTAAAGCTCCAACAGAAGAAGAACACAGAAGTAAAGGGGTAACAAAACCAAGGTACATGATTTGGAGAGAAACTATCAGTTCAACATCTACACTGGGATTCAGGATAGATGGTGTAAAGAAAGCCGATGGCACCAGCACAAAAGACTTTAAAACTACGAAAACACGTGAACAAATCGTAGAGGCATTTAAAGACTTTACCACCGTGTTTCCAAATGCTGTGGTAATTAGCTTCTTTCTATTTAAAATTACTTTATTGTATTTATTTTGTGGTTCAAGTTGAACTAAAATCTTTTTTGATGAACATAACTTTCTGAGAGTTTTATATGTATTATGAATTTTCATTTAAATCTCGTTATAGGTATAGAAACCTTACAAATCTATTCTTCTAAAAAAAAAAAAAATCATATCAATCGGTTCACATTTACATACCTACAAAGAGAATTCACCAGAAATCGCTAGAACATCCCTTATATAAATGTGTAAATAAATATATTATTTAAAACATTTTATTTTTTTACAGCCCAAATATTTGGAAAGGCTAAAGAACATCCGATCAAAGTTAATAGAATCTCATTTCTTCCGAACGCATGAACTTATTGGCAGCTCTTTACTCTTCGTACATGACAAAAGGAAAGCATCCATTTGGATGATAGATTTCGCCAAAACAGTTCCTGTACCAGACAATGTAAATATTGACCACAATTCTGCTTGGAAAGTTGGGAACCATGAGGACGGTTACTTAATTGGTATCAATAACTTAATATCTATCTTTGAATCTCTCATTAAAGATGATAATGGGAACATAGATCAGTGTTACTCAAATTTAACTTTAGACAAAAATGTTAGAAGAGACAGTCTCGCAACTTGAGGATCTTCATTTATAGAGCATTCTCTATATATTGGAATTAGAATTCGCAGTAGTATTACTGCATTGTACAGCGTTTTGTTTGGAGATGTCGATAATGTATATATTGACGATTTATTTGATGTAAATAATGATTGTATTGAGGACCGTTGTTGTATTAATAAGATTAAAATACTCATCTAGAGTAGGATAAGCCCAATTATTAGGTTCTAAAGATGTATGATGATGTTGTTCTTAAAATGATAATTGTCAGAATGGCCAAAATTGATTAAAACTATTAAATATTAATCAACAAATTGCCATGCTTTTAAATGAAAGTAAACAAACATTGTTAACGTATCTTTTTATATATTATCATTTTAATAATAATGTATAAGAGTATATTATTTTGTACTAATGTACAAAGTGTTCTAACAACAGAGGTTTAATAAATCAAAGAGTTACATATTTTGAAAAAATGTTTAATGTCTTTCTTTTCAAAAAATTATAACATGAATAAACTATCGATAGCTTTATTTTAAATTTATTTGTTTTACATTTCTTGTTTCATTTGATTTTCATATATTATTTCATTTCATATTTTCAAATATTTCACTCTTTGCTTTATAAAATCACAATTAGAATCAATAAAGCAAAAATGAAACATACACAATATCCAAAAACATAAAAATTTTCAAATTAATTTATAAATTGGTATTGAATGGTCGTATATAAACTTAATTTGAAATGATACACTTAAATGTGCTTAATTTCTATAGACATATATAATGATGCAGATGTTTTATACATGTTGTTATATTTATTTTTAATTCACCTACACTATATTAGTGTAACGACTAGATAGAACTTTATTGCTAAGAAAATACGTAAGGATAAACCTAAATAAGAAATAATTAAAACATATCACATTATTCTCTGTGTTTGTACTCAACCCCTCAAAACTCATCTTAAATATGCATAAACTAGGAGTTTGTTATTAATTTAACTTAACTAGTGGAATGATTTTCATTAAAGTGGCATTTTATATTGCAACAAATTATCTTTCACAACGTTCTTATGAAAAATAAAAATGCTACGCAACTTCTTATAAAACACACTAGTATAATTAGCGTATAGGTAGCACAATCAAATTTCTTATTAAATATTTTACAATAAATTATCTATCTACTTATAAATAATGGAATGATTTAAGTAAGCCACTAGAAAACGATAAGTACCTATATAGTGGACGGCATTATATTTAAAATAAATTATTATATAAAACTAGCAATTGCACTAAATGGAGGCACTTTAAGTATTATCTTTATTATTGTCGATTACTACATCGGTTAAGCTATTTCGTCTAGAGTTTTCGCCAACCGTTGAAGTACTTTCTTTTCGTATTCGTGAGAAGAGTCGCGGGACGGGAGCAGTTACTGATCTACTAGAGTCTATTGGTGCTGGAGAGTATCGTCTAGTTCTGGGTGGTTGAGGGTCGGCAGAACTTTCAGAATAAGGCGGCGGTGGTTGATTTAACATAGTCATACGATTTTCCCTTTGAGCAGCTGCCGTTATTTGCAATTCAGCTCCGGCTACAACAGTAGCCAATGTTGGTGTAAACTGAGGAGCCGCAGTGCGAGTTGAAATACGTCTTCGCCTAGGTCCAGATGCATCGTCAGAGTCTCTACTCGGTAACGGAGGAAGATTAAAATCATTTCTTATCGATCCACGTCGCCTTGAATTGCTTGGGTCACTCATGCTTAGATCATCAGAACTATGTGAGTTAACAGTGTCTATAACTGCTAGAGCACGCAGTAAATCTGCTACGCTTGTATTTTCTAACACTTCAACTTGTTCAGACTCTGGAAGATTTGATAGATTGACATCGGGGTCAAACAAGCTTGGGCGACCACGTGAGGTTCTATTCCTATAATTATCTAATTCACTAGAAAATAAATTGCCACGGCCGCCTTCTGTAGATTGTCTGTAATTGTGGATATCACCAGCAAATAGGCTGTTACGGCCCTTTTTCGTTTCATTTTGATATTGTTTAATACTAGCTTCAAGGTCACTACTGCATTGTTCTGGTGTACTAATTTTTCTACTATTGCCAAATGAAGGAAACAAACTTCTGCGACCGTGACGTGTTTTTTCCTTATAATTAACTAATTCATCTGAGCTTTCCGGCATTGTATCGTCATCACTTTTCTTGGATCTACCAAACGTAGGAAGTAAGCTAAGACGACCTCTTCTTGTGCGGTTTTGATACTTTTGTACTTCATCTTCATCTACAGTATCATCATCGTTGCTTGTATGATCGCTAAAATCAAAAGTTGGGAAAATACTATGTCTACCTCTTCGTGTATTTTCTTTATAACGATTTGCGTTTTCCTCAGGATCACTGAAGTCAAATGTAGGAAATATACTATGTCTGCCTGATTTCGTTTTCTCTTTATATGCCTTAGCTGCTGCTGCGTCTTCGTCTTCACTAAAATCAAACGTAGGAAAAATACTATGACGTTTTGGCCTCTGTTGGTATGATGATGCAGTGGCTCGATCTTCGTCTTCCGAGAAATCGAATGTCGGGAAAATACTATAACGCCCACGTTTCGTTTTTTCTTTGTAAGCATCGACATCACTTTTTGACTCTTCGCCCATACCAAATGTCGGGAATATGCTTCCCCGTCTTGACTTTTCTTTTATATTATCTGTTGAACCTTGCGCATTACTTACTCTACCTTTCATAGTGTTTTTAATATATTCCGCAGGACTTTCACTAGAGCTAGGTTTCCGAAAGAGACGTGCAAATAAACTCTTAGGTTGTGAATTTTCGTCAGTTTGTGAAACAGGCGTAGGCAGTGATAATTTACCGCTACGTAAGTTTGCTTCCTTTCTATATTTTTCAGCAGTATCGCCGTTGGTCCATGTAAAATCGTGATCTAATCTTGATACTGATTCTTTTCTATAGTTAGGTACGGCTATACTTAATGCTCTAGTTCTCATCGGAGTGCTAGGTAAGAAAGTCTGACCGATGCTAAAGAGTGGTGGTTTCTCACTTGCTAAAATATGTTCATCATCAAATATGTTGATGCCTCTACCTTTCTGCGCTTCGAATCCACCCAAAACATTTACAACTCTTGCCAACAATTCAACTGGCTTCACAATAGCCGATGCTGTGAATGTTTTTTCCTTGTCGATTCCAAGTAAATCGGTGTCTGATTGTATACGGAGCATGTCTTTAGCACTTAATTGAATATTTTCAGAATTAGCCCGTTTTCTCTTAACTACGGTCTCTCTTGGTGTTACGTCAAAAGTAAGAATCGGACAGCTTGCGCTTCTGTATAAATGTGGCGTAGTATCCACATAAACAGGCTGAAAGAAAAAAACGAATAAGTTTAAAGAGAGAGAAAAGGTAATAATGACGTCTCGTTATGCATATAATAATATATTTTTTTAATTTTTATTATATACCTAGTATTTTCTTAATGAAGATATAATTTAGGTTTATTATGATAAAAAGAAGTTATACTCAATGGACTACCATTATATATTTATGGTATAATTTTTGATGACAGTTTAAGTAATACAATTTAATAAATTAATGATCTGATGCCCAAAAGTGTACGATTAGGTACAGGTTACACTGTTTACTACACTAGAGGTTATCAATTTAATTTTTCCATGACATATCCTACTTTTGTCACATAAATGATACACACCTTCACTTTTAAAAGATTAGCCTCATTAATAATCTTCCTAATAACAGCAATATCTCTTGTAAATCCTTGTAAGATTTTGCTTTGAGTAGATTTCAGTTGACAGGCAAATTTCTGTTCTAATCGGTGGACGCGTTCAGAACGCATGCCGCTGGTGATAAAACCAAGTAGCATCACTATATAACCAAGCCCAAATGTGATCCATACAATAAGAAATATTTGATATGCTAAAAAGTAGCCATATTTGAAGCCATTGTTGACGGTCCCTGAAAATATAAAAAAAACGTAATAATTATAAAACTATAAAAAACTAACATTTTTAATGTATCTTCTTCAGCTTTATATGTATATAATAAGTATTTTAAATATAATAAAATAAAAGCTCTATTACGTACTATAGATAAGTAAAAATTGTTTACGAAACTGAAATTAAATATTGGTATTTTCTTAAGCAAAATTTATGAGGTCATAGACGTATTATAACAGCTTAAGCTTATAGTATAGGCAAATCTATATACAAAGCAGTTGGGGGTGAAAATTTTCTGCTAGAGCTGTAGGTTCTATACAAATATTGCTTATTATTAATACTATGTTACGTATTACGTATGTTAGTTGGTTTGCTGTAATTAACGTACCTGCAACGATGTCACCAAAACCAATCGTAGTTAAAGTGACAAAGGCATAATAAATTCCAGCCACATAGTCCCAACCTTCAAATACTACAAAAATACACGCTGGCATAAATATGAAGAAGAGAAATCCAGGAACTAAATAAAGGAAAATTTGTCCCAACATTCCCAAATTGTGGAAGAAATAATCTAATTTATCTGCTCTTTTTTCATTTTTCCTTTTGTATTTTCGATACACTGAAATGAGCTGAAATGATAAAATAAAAGAAGGCTTAGTGGCACATATTGACAACATTTATAACAAATAAGAAAGCTTCCTACATTTCTTTATTGATATATCCAAATAAAATCAAACCTTATTTGTAAATAACATATTAAAAATTATACGAACAAAAATAATGCCCCATTAAAATAGACCATTTGCGTTGAGACTATACGTAAGATTGGAATCCGCTATCGTCTATGCCCACTTCTATACATATAATAAAATTGTAACTAAGCTGAATCTGTACATTAAATATTTTTTTATAAAATCTTAGTGAAAAAACATTATTATCGATACAGAGGCCGAATATATAGTTTTTAGAATGTTTGTCTCTCTGTCAGTCTGTCTGTCTGTTACCGCATCACAGAAAAACCACTGGAGGGATTTTGATGAAATTTGGTATGGTGGTAGCTGGTTATCCGGGTCTATATATAGGATACTTTTTATTACGGGAAAATATCTCATTTCTGAGAAAAAATACAAAAACTGCAATGTATACTAATATGTAAAACCTAAGAATTTGGATTTTGGTCATCTTACGCAGGCGGAGCCGCGGGCAATGCTAGTAAATTAATGAAATTCGTTGCTATTTTTGAACCTTTTTTTTTATGTAGGTATGATACACGATAACAAAGTCTTTTTTTCCGATTATATGCGTTTCAAAATAAACTCCACTTCTGCTGGTGGAATTATTACTTTAAAAATGAATATGAGAATAAATATTAAAAGCATTTTGTTTCCGTACTATTAAAGAGTCTTTAACTAACAGTAAGAGTATACACTTTATGTGATTAGCGTTTTTTGTTACCTGAAGTGCGAAATATTCACCGAGATTAGCTAGCAGGATACCATTAATGGGGATGCCGAACAAGCCATAAAATATCATGAGGATTCTTGACAAATGAGTTGTTGGCGCTAAATTTCCATAACCTGTAATAATTTAAAATACTAAAATAAGTATTGTTTAGGGTGGATTACAATACAAGAAAATGTGTATGTAAAATACATACATGCCTAAACTAAAATTAATATTGATACTTAAGACTCCATAAAGGAAATACTTTGTAAAAATATTATATTTTATGTATTAAAATCCAGGTAATTTATGTTTAATATTAATTCTTGTCATACGAATGATCTAAAGGTTTACCAAAATGAGTCCATAGTTACTAAGTTCATTACTTCTACATTTAAGTCACATCTGTATCTGGATAACAAATAACTCATTTATGGGGTATGCTAGTAGTGGCTTTTTTTTTTTTTTTTCTTTTTTTTTTTTTTTTTTTTTTTTTTTTAACGTTGGGAAATGCATTTACGCACGACGTGTGGGACTCACCGGCGTAATACAGCCAGTACTACCCACTAAAACCCAACAAAACCTTCCCCCGTCTTAATGGGGCGTCGCAGGATCGCTTGCGCATTCAACTACGACGCCCCGACGGCAGGTCTGCCGTAGCAGACCATGCTAGTAGTGGCTAAGTAAACCCCCTTTAACATATTAATTAATTATATTATTGTGTTGTTTGTATGTATAAGTTGGTACTTGAAAGGATCAAAATTGCAAGAAAAAGAAATTCCGAGTATTGTAGCAATTTCGAATTTAGATTTTAAATGTATAAAAAATCTTTTTGTTTTAATTACCTCAATACTGAGTTAAATTGTTCTTTTATTTTATAATTTCATCGGTGGTTTAGTGGCTAGCATGTACGGCTGCAGATCCAGAAGACCGGAATTCGAGATCTGGGTCTGGCCAAGTTTAATTATTAAGTTTTTCTTTGAGCCATGAAATGTTTAGTGACAGTTGATAGCAGAGATGTTGGCAGTGTTTCACCCCAGCGCCTAGCACATAAAGCTATCGGCCCTGCGCCTGATCTCTCACCGGATTATAGGAGTGACAGGTATAAAGAGTGCATGTTTGGTTTGCGCGCACACTTGTGTACTATAATCCTCCTAAGCACATGGCTAGTCTTAGTGAGATTGGTTGTCAGGGCCGAAATCGGTCAGCAGGACATTATAACATTATTGTCCTTTGCAGGTAAATATCTCGAAGATACCCGATTGGAAACATATTTATCTTTTTTCAGAAAGTTAACAATTAATATATTATTATTATTTCTGTCATATTAGTGTTATTATTAGCATATAAGAAACTTACCAATTGTACTGACGACTGTATACGAGAAGAAGAAGGAATGGTAAAAGTCCCATTTATAAGGAGGTTCGGCGTCTTCTGTGGTATAGTTAAACATGGATTTCCCACAATATTCGGATAACTTGCGTAATATACTGTCTTGTTTTTCTGGATCATTTGGAATGTAATTTTCGTAGAGCAGGTCTGAAAATATAAAAAGAACAAACTGTACATCGGTTAATTTAATATTTTAAAAATAGACATGAATTAATGGTTTTTATAAAGAAATTTTCATAATATAATTAGAAGTTATTATTAATTCGCTTTTGTCTTTAGTCTTCGGGCATAGTATCATGTGTTCGACTAGCACTGATGACAACAATGGCTAGTATGATGTTCTCCTCCTGACCGATTCCGGCCACGGCGGCCAATCTCATTGAGACTAGCCAACTGCGCAGGAGATATTATAGTGCACAAGTGTACGCGCAGACATAAGTGCACTCTCTATTCCTGTCACTTTCGTACTCTGGTGGGACGACTGCTCGACACGACCAGTGAGAGTTAAGGCGCAGGACCGACGGCTTTACGTGCTCTCCGAGGCACGGGGGTGAAACACCGCCAACTTCCCAACTCCGGGCTGTTACTGAGGCTTACTATACAGAAAGACACAATAACTAAACTTGGCCCGACCCGGGACTCGAACCCAGGACCTCCGGGTGTGCAGCCGTACATGCTAGCCACTACACCACCGAGGCAGTTAATGGCTAGTATAATTGTATTATGTCATCAGTAATGTTTGCAATTAGTACCCTACTGTGTGTGCATGCTCGTTACTCGTAAGGTCTTAACTCTTAATACAACATAAAGCGTGGAGCACCCCCAACCCAGTGACATAGCAGTTAGAGGAGCTAGAAGTGGTGGGAGTAATCCGCACAGGGTGTTACCTGATTGGGAGTGGCTAATGTGTGTTTACGACATGCAAACTACGTAAAAGACTTTCCTTATTTGCCTTGCATTATTTTCAGCTTTCTTTGGTAATTTTCACATAAATTGTAATAAATAAATATAAATTGTAATAATAAATAAATTGTAATAGTGAACAGATCTTTAAAAATATGGAGCATAAGTATTGTGTAAGAAATAAAAAACAAGAACTTTTTTGTACTTCGACGTTTTATATTGAGAAAACGTTACAATTAGACATGTTTTAGTATCTTGAGGCTTAGGCATCCAAATTCTTAATAAATTCATGCGGTTCATTCCGTAAACTTACACAGCTTTCATAAAAAGCAAAAAGTATCCTCCACAGGACATGATCTAAGTTTGTGACAAGTTTTATTCAAATATTACGACTACAGATACGGGAAGAAGTAACAAATACTAGTATGACTAACTCAACTATTAAGGAAAAATCATACCAATTATCATTAAAATCTATGTCACAATTACTGTATAAATCAACATGGGGAGGAACCTTGTATTTATTTATTATACCAGCTGATATCGACGTTTACTTCGTGCAGTAATCGAAATGCAAATCTTAATAGGCTCATTTTCAACCGCGTGTATTGAATACCGTTACAATACTGATCTTAGTCAAACACAATTATAATTTTCGTCTTTGAATCAATTTGAAATTGCTAGAATCATTGACGTAACCACTTACAAAACCTTTCAATTATTATATGCAATACAATCGTAGTTTTGTGGTAAAATATTTATGTTAATTGTGAATAACAAGGACATTTATGGCCAATATTGGTACAATGTGTCTTAGTTAGCGTCACTTAAGATCTAGTTAAACAAAGTATTAGAATAATTGCTAAATCACGACAAAAACTTAATGTGGGACTTTAATTAGGTACTTAGCTGTTTTTACAACGACAATTTTATGCTCGGCTCCACACAAATGAGACAATTTGTTGTTTTTTTTTACAAACTTTTGTTACTGTTTTTTAGTTAAATTAGATCTTTCACCATATCTTAATCAGTAAAAATAAAAAAAGTAGTAAAAATAATGCATTTAACAGTTTTTACTTAATAGTTTAGTTTCTGTCATTTTGTGCCTAGTTTACTTTGATTTTAAGAAAAATTTACTTATTTTATCAACTGTAAAGAATTTTTAATTTTTTCAATTATAATTATTATTAATAAATAAGATTCTACGACATACTTATACAAAAAAATATAAGCTCTAAAAAAACTCTTCTAAGCAATAGGTATATAGATTACGAAGTTAACCTTATCCTATACAGCCTCAATTCATTAACCGTAACATTATAAGTTAAATTTATTAGATGTCTAGCCTAGTCTAGGTACGTTTTAATTTTTTTGAGCGGAACCCTAATTCTTTTTCTAAAATAAAAATAGCCTATGTTCCTCCTTATAATATCAGCTATCTGCCAGTGTCCCGTCAAAATCAGTCCAGCCGTTTCAGAGATTATCCGGAACAAACAGACAGACGAACAGACAGACAGACAAAAATTGAAAAAAATGTGTTTTTCTTATAAGTACCGTATATAATTTCATATGCATTTAGTATAACGCTATTATTTTGACATTGCAAACAGATATTTCAATTTTATTTATCTAGTGTATAGATGTATAGACAATATCATAACATATGTATGTTTGAACTAGGGCACGCAGATTATGTTCTATAACTTACTCGCAAGCTGTACAAGGATTGCGTATCCTGCTGTCACTGTCCATACCTAATCAAGAAATACATAAATCTCAAGTAACTTAATATAAGCATTTTAAGTTAGTTTAACTGTTTTATGATTAATATATTGGTTCTAAATACTTTTTAAGTAAAACAATCAAAATAAATCAAAATCACTCTAGAAATAGCTAAGTAGTAGTGAAGATTTCTTAAAAGTTTTATGGGAAATCTATTAATTTAAAAAAAGAATCATGAAATACACTTAACAATTGACGAAGTGATAGAGACGAATGAAGTTTAACTAACGTTCACAAAAAAGTAAAATGAGTTGAGCGCCTTCTCCTTTTGAAATGTGTTAAAGTTGATAGTCATTTTTTTTAAATATGCATTATTATCGCGAAAAGTCTTAAATTATAACTTTTATTTAGTACATACAGTCAATTTTTTAAATTTCTAACTCATTTTTTTTTAGTTTACATTCTATCATTATATCTAAAAACTATTTAATCTATTATTTAAAAAAAAATCTATATATTATATTTTGATTTTTTTCTTTTGTTTATTTTATACTGTAATCTAATATCTAAATCAGCTTTTAAAATATATTAATTTGATATCAAAGCACCGTTTTGTATATAAACATGGCACTTCCCATATCGTAGGTTCAACTGCGGTCACGGAAGCAATTAAGCGGTTTGTCATACTAAAGAGGGGCTATTCAATGATTTTTATAGTGAGCCTGTAAAGAAGGAGTGGCGAGTATTGTGATTAACATCAAATGAATTTAAAATCGATTTACTGTGTGGTTGAATTGAGCTTCTAGCGAAGGTCGAAGTCACTGTCAAGATCAGAATGAAGGTTAAATCCAGGTATACTAAGTTTGTAAATAAATAAATTAATAAATATGTTAGAGCATTCTCACAACACCATCTAGTTCCATGTTAGCTACGAAGCTTGTGTTATGGATACCAGATAGTTGATACATTACACATACCTATATAGCTTTAAATACATACTGTAGAATAAAATGTGATGTAGAATAAAATGTGATTTGATTGAGATGTCAAATAAACAGTCTGTCAACGGATCTTGTTGTTTCACTACATATACATATTATAATATTATAAATATAAACACCCATGACTGGAGTACAAACATTCGTGCTCATCACACAAATGAATGCCCCTTGCGGGACTCGAACCCGGACCGCCGGCACAGCAAGTAGGGTCACTATAAACTGAGCCAAACGTGTCGTCATGTCATTTATATTTGCTTGGAATAATTATTCCTCATCAATTTATTTATTTTGTTTTAGTTTTTGAAGGCCTTAAATCTAAACACTACTTCCATATTTCTTCATATATCGCTTAATGGTTGTCGAAACGTTATTTCCATTGAAGTATGGCAGAGGTAAATTCTTAAAAACGAAATCACCGATATTTAATACTTATTTAAAAAGCAAAACTTATACATTTTTATTTTTATAATTAATCCAGTATGTGGTTGTGGCTTATTATGCACATCTCTATTATATCATTTAATATGAGCTTAATTACCTAAACCTAGCTATGTACGAGTAAATAGTAATATTTGTCTCTTCAGTTGGCCTGACTATGAGACCATGAATTGAAATAAAAATTCAGTAAATGAATAAATAAGGCTTTACTATCAACAGCTGTCCGGAGCCCGGACATGCAGACATCAGAGAGACAAAATATATTGATATCGCCATTATACATGTACAATGTAGACATAGACATAGACATAGTTTTTTTTTTTTTTTTTTTTTTAATAATAATAATTTATTTATTATAACACAACAACAATAACAACTATAAATTAGATAACAATATACATTTACATTTGAAATAAAAATTAACATATAATTAATTGATTAATTTAAAATTTATTTATTTATTTATTTCAAATCTAATCAAAATTTCAAATTTTGTGGTTGAGATCCCCTTTTAAGCAAATAATTTGCCTGTATTAGGAGACCCCGCCCTTTCATAAAAAAGTAATTTTATCTTTTAGCTGATTATAATATTATGGGTGATACTACAAACTTAAATAGATCAATTAAGACAAACAAAAAAATAAAAAATTAAAATAAAAATAAAAATTAGCGTACATATATTTGTTTGTGTATTGTGTGTGAGTGTGCGTGTGTGTATGTGCGTGCGCGTGTGTGTGTTTGTGTGTGTGTGTGTATGTGTGTGTGTCCGTGAGTGTGTGTGCGCGTGTGTGTGTGTGTGTGCGCGTGTGTGTGTGTGCGCGTGTGTGTGCGTGTGTGAGTATTTAATGAATATGTTCTAACAGTTTTTCCGTATCATTGTAACTAAGGGTTTTTATCCAATCTATTAATGTCTTTTTGCATTTATGGTAATTGTAGGGGTAAACATAAATGATACTGTTAATTTTATTATATAATTGTGCAGATCTTTTATCGAATTGCATTGACGCAAATGTTGTTCTTGTTTGTGGGATTTTAATTATATTTTCTTTCCTTCTTTTTAATGTTAAAGACGCATCATAGGAA